CCAAACTTCTAATCTTACAATATTTGGTGTCTCATTTGGGTCAATGATAGGTTTCATAATTCATTACATAAGATCTAACTCATTTCCCACTTTACCAAAAAAATTTCCTTTCATGTCTTTTGACACATTCATGTCCATATTGTTTTTAATCATTCATTCATTTTTATTTGCATCAAATAGTTTTACGGTATTTGAAGATCGTATAACAACTTTCTTATTACAAACATTTGGACTTTTTACGTTTTTTAAAACATTTAAAATCAAAACCGCGAAACTTCGACTAAAATTACAGTTTTTTACATTCATGTATTTGTTAGCTACACGAATTGCTTCATATTCCACTATATGCAGAGAAGAACAAATGCCTTATTGTACTTCAACGTTTTATATTTCTCAAACATCAACCGTATCATCTCCACTTACTTTGATAATATTGATAGCAATGACAGTATTTATGCCGTTCATTATTTGTCGTCTATTAAAATTATCTGGAAGTTATAATGGTGTAGCACCTCTGTGGATTGAATTCGGGCTAAGAGGTGGATTAATATTATCTGCCGCTTATTGGATAATGGATAACTTGGATAGTAATTCTACTTCTTCTGTAGTTACTGATAGAGATGAAACGAAACTTAACACAACGAATATACTGTTCAACCAAGGTTGGAAATGGGTCAAAAATTTTATAGTTAGACTCGCTTTTGGACTATCTACAATAGTTGGAACCGTAGCGTGGTCAACAAATCCATTATGTTTAGATTTGAAAATGATCGATATTGAAACGGACGATATGTTAAAAGAAAACTCCAACAAATTAGATAAAAATACGAATGTGAAATTAAAAAATCCAGATCGTCAAGCATCATCGTCATCAAAACAATCAGTGAACTCCCAAAATGATAAAAAATCATCAGAACAACAAACTAAACGATCAGAAAAAGCAATTGAAATATTGGGGTACAGAAATGCGTTTGGCGCTTCGTATTTTGTATTCTTGACAATAATCTATCTTCTTTTGTTTATAACACAAAAACCAATGGGTGGTATAATGTTATCAATTGCTTTATGTCAATTAATGTGCTTATTAGAAATTATAGACACTAAACGAGATGCTTATGAATTGAACATTGAGAATAAATTTTCATCAAAGGAGGATGAAAAAGACGTGTCGAATGTATCTTCCCCATATAGCTCATCTAATCTACAACACAAACCTACAAAATTCCTTGATGTAGCAATTCTTTCACTATTATCATCACTATACTTCTTTTCAACAGGCCATCAAGCAACCTTATCTTCAATTCAATGGTCCGTCGGATTCATTGGCATAGAAGAATTAAGTTATATTATTTCTCCATTATTAGTCACATTAAACACCCTTTCTTCTCAAATTCTTTTTTCACTTGCAATTCCATTATTAGCTTTTTGGAATATTACACCTAAATCAGGTTACCCTTTATTTCAAGAACTTACTAGATCAATATTAATGTATATATTTTACAACGGTGTAGTGGCAACTAGTAGTGTATTTTGGGCGGCTTTTTTTAAAAGACATTTAATGGTTTGGAAAATATTTGTGCCTAGATTTATGTTAGGAGGAATTAGTTTACTTACTGCTGATTTGGTTATCTGTGGACTTTCGATTGGATTTGGTTGTTGGAAAATTATGAATGAGATTTCTAAATATTTTGAAATTATTTATAAATAGACTAATTTAAATTTCTTAAATTTCTTAAATTTCTTGAAAAATGTTTTTTCTTTTTATCTATATACGGAATATTTATACAATATGGAATTAGATTTAAAAATCACTTTAATATATAGAAACTTATATTAAAAAAAGGTTATGCACTTAATTTACAGACTATAATTTATAAAATTTTAATAAATATATTTTTATTTTAGAATATTGCTATTTGCCGTCAATGGCGATATTGTTGGGGGTAGTGTTCCGAAGTTCAGTTCAGTTCAATTTAGGTTCAGGTTCAAGTTCAGTTGAACCTGAACTGAACTTTAAATTTTGCAGATCTTTGAACCTGAACCTGAACTTTAAATTTATGAACTTGAACTGA